TATATATATATGTATGTATGTATGTATATAATATATAAGTAATATGATATAGGCTAATGCATATTTTTCTAAATGAATATACATAATCTTCTATAAGCATTTACTTTAACATTACTCAATCTTTTTTAAATGAACAAACTAAATCTTCTAGTGCATGCATCAATGATCTTTTCTAAATGAACATACTCAATCTTCTATGAGCTTTTAATTTATACTTTACATACACATCTGCCTCTGTGAGGATCACCATCAACAAACTTCAAACACCCTTAGCCGATATTGTTGCTTCAGCTCATGTTAGCACAATAGTTATCGATCTACACATCACAATTGCCTATGGTGGAAATGCTCTTGCTTGCCCCTAACCAATATTACTTGTTGACACAGTGTATAATAATGTAAAAATTACACTTGTCTAGAGAGATAAACCCTGGTCGACTCGCCCTGGTTGATATTATTCCATTGGCACAGTGGTTAGTTAACTAATTCTCACAATTGTTTAATGTGGTAGAAAAACTCTACTCGTGCGGGTACCTGACGTCCCTTACTTGTCTTCCTTGAAAATGCACATGCAAGCATTTATATATATAAGTTATTTCATTCTTCATACATACATTATTTCTGAAACATTTTTATGCTTCTACTAACATGCATATTTAGTATGCTGTACAACTATTCATTAGCCATATCATTCATATATCTATTTCGTTCATCTCTTACTTATATATATCCTATTCATATCTCTTACTTATATCATGCATATCTTTCCTACATGCCTATCTTACATATAATATCTATCTACATATCATCATTTCATGTATATCTTTCATGCATGCACATCTTTTCCTATTATATTTATCATGCATATAAGTTCTATCAATATGAAGGATTTGGTTAAACTAGAGGCATACATTAAGTCAAACATACAATCTGAAAATAAAGAAGAATTTTGAAATTTAAAAATGCAACTACTCACCTCAGTTGTCAAGCTAAACTCTTAATTTTCAACAGTTAGCTGAAGGTAGCAGTGACTTTTCTATTGAGCTTAATAACATATAAAACATAATATTTAAATTTTTAAGATTTAAATAATTTCTATTAATCGAATTAATTTTCTTAGCTTATAATTAATTTACCTGAATTTTGACGGAGTCGACCTACGACTATCTAGTGTGCACTTGACTCAAACTCGCAACCTCACTTAACCAACCTGAATTCTTAAACGAAATAGGAATTCATAATATATTTTTTCATTAGGTAATTGAGCTTAAAAGATCATTGATTTGCCAAAACATATATTAAAAGGCTTTCACGGAGACTAATCCTTCTCCAAAGCTACCAAATTTACTATCACCTCCAACCACATTTCTCCTACGCTAATATCTTGCTAGAACACATTTGGATGCTCACAAAAGACATTCGACGTTTCCAGCACACAATTAACATGTATGAAAAATGAGGCAAAAGTCAAAACTGGAGCTTGAGGAATTAAATCAAAATTTAAAATGGCGAAGAGAGGAATTTGTACCCTTGGATTTCACCCCAAAACCCTAGATAGTGAGCGGAGCTAACTCTAGTGCCGCTCGGTTCTCCTTCAACCCTCGGTTACTCGCACCCTTGCACTGTAGCAAAGGTCGCGATCCCTTCTGCTAATGTCGTGCGCGAACCGAATAAGGAGGGGGGAGTTCGAGGTAGTAAAATAGAGAGGGAGGGAGGAATTTTTGAAGCTTGAGCAAACCCTATTTGATGAACGAAGGAATAAAAGGCGAAGGAATGTCGGTTGGCTACAATGAATCTATGGAATTAACATAGAATTAAGAATTAATTAACTTAATTAATTCAATAAATCTTATAACTTCTAAATATTATATTTCTCAATCTAGTCATAAGTAGTGTATAGCGTTTTATATCAAATTGTTTGATTTAACGTGTTAACTCGACTGAAATCTGGAGGCAGTGAAAATTGAGATACATTTTAAATTGTCGAAATTTATCAAATTTATCAAAAATTGGTTATTACAACCACCAAGAATCATTATCATGAGCCTTCAAATTTCTTTTTCGGAAGAGGTATGGGAAAAAAAAAAAAAAAAAAACTTACTTATGGAACAATTCCAACGATACCAACAATGGCTTGATCCATCTAATGTCCAAATTGACCCAAATCAAGCACTAAAGTATAGTTGAATTTTTTTATGAAACGATTGGTGGAATTAAACAATTGTTGTTATTGTTATTGTTATTGTTGTTGATTGTTGGAATTAAACAACCACTAAATTTCATAAGCTTATGCTTGAAATGAATGCCTTTAAAGAGATGAATTTGAAAAGTTGAAGACCATTAAATGATGATACCAATACGGCACTAAACAATCATCTAGTGGAGAATCATGATTTAGCATGACCAAAATATTTAGAACTATGCTGTTTGACTTGACTTGGCAGTCTGAAAAAAAAAAAAGATCCAAAAAAATTCCTTAATGGAATAATAAATTTAACATAAGAACAATATATTATAAAAATTATCAATAAATAGTTTTTTTATTATTATTTAATTTTTTTATTTCTATAAAAAAAATTTATTATAAAACATTCTAAAACCAGCTTTGTTAGTAGATGAAAATTATAAGAAAAATGTGCCAGCTTTAGATATATATATGATTGCTATTTGGAAAGCCATTGGTACGTCCGGGCAAGGCTTTCATCAGAGCAAGGGCTACTATAGTGACGTCCATATCGATCTCTCAGAAGATTCCATCCGTTTTTCAGTTCTTATGTATTCACATATTTAACACCTAAATTTTAATTTTAACAAACAATATCCCCATTTTTTATGTGATAAAAAAATTGAATGGTAAAAATGCAAAAGCAAAATTTTAGGCTTTAGATATGTAAATAAATAGGAATTGGCTGACATGTACGTTAGTGCATCAAAATAATTGTCCAATTAGGGGCCATTCTAGGTAAAATATTGTTGCTAATTACCTTGATTTAGGGTCCATTTGGGACAACTTATTTGGTGTGGTGGCATTTTGAAAACACATCCAAACTGTTTGAATAAACTGTGTTTTGACAGCTTATGCATTTTGAAACGCTGAAAACAGCATTTTCATATCGCACCTATCTAGATGTGGTGATAACTTTCTAGCAGTGATCTGACTTTTCCAATAAAATAAAAAAATTATAATAGTCACCGCACCTATTTTATCAACATATTATTTTTAATCAATTTATTAATCGATTATTCAACAAGCTGCAACTGCCTCAAACAGACTATTGTCTATTCGTTTTTTTACCAAAATATAAAATCGGATGTTTTTTTTTTAATTATAATCTCTCAAAATAAAATTGCAAATCTATAAAAATAAATTTGTATTAAAGGTTCATATTATCTAAAGATGAAGCATCTTCCCTTGAAGCATCATCTATGACGTGCTTCAAGAGCAATTATATCATGTCTTGAGATGGACATAAAATTCTAAACCATCCCCCCAAAACCAATACAACTGTAATATGAAGGCAACATAATGCTGGAGAGTGAAATGAAGGCAACAACATATATATATATTTTTTTTCTATATCAGTTTTAAAACATGGTCGTCAGCAATGATTTACAGCGGGCAGTGGAGACAAAACATATCATACAAATTGCTTTTACTTGGGAGTCTAAAAAAAATAATAATAAAATATATATTACAGCGTGGCAGCCAAAAAGAATCATAAAACTGATTTCCTACCAATTGGAAAACTTGGGAGACTTGTTAAAAACTGTAAATTTGACATCAGAATTGCATTCTATATCTCTTTCAGGCGAGTATAGCTCAAGCTTTAAATATGCCATTTAAGCTTGTAAAGGGTCGCTGAAAACTTTTGTGATGGCTGGATCTCTCCCCCAACATTCTCTCTCTACCCCTTCTGTATCTCATTGTCTCCATCCCTTCAAAAGCAGAAAGATAAAACACCCAAGATCATTGGAGGCGGCTTAATAAGGGGCACAACCCTCATTAAGAGATCGGACTTCGACCATTATTACATCTAATTAACTAGTCAGAGTCCGTGTCCAAATTTATTGAATGGAAGGGGCGTTTGCGAACCGACCGGGGCTGACGAGGATGAGAGAAAGAGATACTAGATTTTTCTCCATTAAAGCTCGACTTGCTGGTTCTATCACCACTCATACTAAGAAGCAAGGAAGCTGCGTTAAGAAAAAGAGTTTCTTCACTTTCCATGGTGATAACGTGATCTAATTAAGCTTTATAATGCACCAAGTTTGACTAACTAGCTAATATGTGAGAAAACAAATAGGCTGGATAGCAAAAAGCCTCTCAGTATTTTATTTTCTACAGAAAACATAATAATGTAAAACATTTGCGCTCAATAAGGTGCGTATTTACGTTTTAAATTAAATGCTTATTCTGTGGAATTTCAAATAAATTTATGACTTGCTGCTCAGTAGAGCTGCAAGCCCAATTGAAACAATTCCTGATGCGTCACAAGGCCAAATATACAGAACTCATTGTTCTTAATACAATTATTAAGTTAGCATGCAGGATAAAGCAGCCCTTTTTAGTCTCTGAATAAGATTTGCCTAAGACACTATGCCACATTTGGCTGCAGGAAGAAAAAGAATAGAATAGTTGCCTCTTCACCAGTTTCTGAAATGCATAGGTCGAAAGTTCTGGTAGCAGAAGGAACAGTGCAAGACGCAGATAAGGATGTAAAAAGAAGGTTGGATTGCCGCTTTATTTCTGCTGCCAGTTTGACAGCAGCAAGTAAGCGAAAGTTAGAAGGCTGCTACATTGGCAACACGAAAAAATGTCAAAAAGAAGTTGGAGACGGCATACAAAGGGAGCCGAAATAAAAGTACAAGTATGAATGGAAGAAGAGGAAGAAAAAAGGCAGGAAAAATGTTAGTGGTATTGCAACCTAGGATTGCTGCTATCATATTAATAATACTGCTCACTGATAGATCAAAAAGTCAAAGGAAGAGTCCAACCTCCACCGAGAAAAAGCTTCTAAGGGGGGTTGAATCCTGTGCCTGATTGTGCGATAGACGAGCAGGCAATGCCAACCTAACAATTGCTTGTGACAGATAAGGAAGAAGGTTTTTTACTTCAGCATACAAAACTAGCAAGCACAGAAAGCTGGCAAGTAATGCATGGGCACATTGGAATCCTAAGATGAAAATAATTATCATGCATGCACTAAAAAAAGTTAAAACCAAACAGAGTAATTTTAATAAAATGATACCAATTAAACATCAAAAAAACATAGGATATAGACGAACCAGTAGCTAATGATTCCATTCTATTCTCTTCCGGTGCAAAATGATGTTCTGAACTCAGCCCATTTGGCAAAGTAGAGTTGACATGCGGTTCAATTACACCACCAAGGCTAAGAGACATCCAATCATTAGGGCTGATACCGCTGTCCATCTCAGCATGGCCGCTCAAATTAGTTTGGGAAGGAACACTATTTACGGGTTGACTAGGCAGAAAGATTTGCAAAGAGGGATCTCCACAGCTGAATGTTAAAGGATTTCTATTCATCAAGCTTCCACTCGAACTATTGTCAGGACAAGGAGGAAGATCTTGGACCTGACAAGCCTCTCCAAAACCATTTGATCTCAGATTATAGTCATCTGGTGCTAGCCCAGCAAAAGCATCAGAAACATCAGTATCAGAACCAAATAGTTTAAGACCCGGGCCATTTTGAGGGCGCGTCTGTAGGGGCCAAAGAGGCATTCCAAAATCATCAGGATTATTGTCACAGAAACCGAGGTATGAGACTGCATCAGCCCTTAATCCAGATTCATCAGGGTATACATCTAAAACCCCTCGATGATCAGCTGGAACAGCATTACAAATGGATGGAATAGCGTCATTAGCTATTGCAGGAGAAATCATGGTGACATTATCTTCATCGGAGTCACTAAGGATGATTACATTAGCATTATCCAAAGGTACTGGAGGACACATATCTCTAATTTTGTATAAGTCCAAAGAAATTGAATCGAGTTCATGGCTAAACGGTAAATCAAAACTGCCTCCACCATCTTGGTTAACACTAGGATCTTCACCATCTCTGCAGCTTCCAGTAGCACTGCTACTGGTAGGAATAATGTTTGGGCAGAAATCTCCGGATGTTTCGAATGCCAAAGTTCCCGAAGACTGGTGTTCTGTAACTCCTGGTTTATTGAACACCCAATCTCCATTGTTGTTTTTCCTAATACCTAATTTCAAACCAGTGTATACTTCAGAGATAACTTCTTTCTTAACCTGAGGGTAAATCCCCAAGTCCGGTTTCACTTCAACATCTGTTACACTACAGAGAGTGCCATCGGGTAAATGCCACTGCAGGAGATCCTTGATATCAGATGAAATTTTTGCACGCCAGGATCCATCAGGTTTCACATCAATCTCATTAACATCCTCCCCACAATTTTGCATCTGGAAAACCAACAAATAAGAAGATAAATGTTCATTATCCAAAAACATAATTATGAATCAAAATGAGTTGGTGTAGTGATCAAATTACCATAGATGTTATTCGATTAAAATATGGATCTATGATCATGTTCTCCAAAGAGTAATTTTTGAGACAAATTGGGCATTGCCACTGCAACAAAGGAGAAAATTACCAATAGCACTTCAAAAGGGTAGATTGTGGTAAACCCAATTTAGACAAGTAATTAAAAAATTTAAAAAATTAGGCACCTTCCGAGAGCGCTGATTAAGTTCCATGAAAGTTTCAAGATCAAAGCAACCCATGTGAATGCAAGGCTTGAATCTACCAGCTATCTTCATTCTAGACCCACTCATCTGCCATAGGAAGTAAATTAAATTTCCAATCTCAATGGGAATATTAAAAAATCATGTTCGTAAGCAAATCCATAAGTCTTATTTGACAAATCTAGCCTAAATCATCAATTCAGTGTATTTACCAGCTTCATAGACAGAAAAAGTGAACTTTTCTCCTGTGATGTATAAGTTTGACGAGGGACAAGACTAGGCATATTTATATAGGTTAACATCAAATAAAAAGGAAGGAAGCTAATATGCGATCCAAAAATGTAAACACATACATGAAAGATCTCGACAATTGTTCCCACACAATAAAAATATTCGACTAGTTGTAAACATAGAACTTAATTAAACATGTTCAGCCTAAGATTCTCAATTTGGAATGCTATGGCAAGGTACGATTCATAACTGAAGATTATCAAGTGGTCCATCTCTGCTGGTGAAGCCTCCCTTTAGTGGGATAATACTTTAAAGGGGACCCTTTTTACAAACTATCCATCTTATACAAACCCGCTGCATCTTAAAGTGAAAGAATTTTGTAATGCTGGAGCCTTAGACTGAACTCATCCACAATTTTCAGACCTCTCGCCCAAATCATCCTCTATCATCACATAACACTTCTGTGAGTCCAATGACCGACCATTATACATTCTCATTTCAGACTTTATGCTAGTGCTCTATGATTATAAATCTGGTTTTCCTGATAAGATCCAATTGTTCATGCGAAAGCTTATTAACTCAATACTTCCATTAATGACATGGTGCAGTCTAAAGGCATTCACTCAGCTTCAAAATGCTTCCATTGTTGTTCAAATAAATCCCTAAATCACCTATGCATCAGTCGCCCCCATAGAAAATATATATAGGACTCCTTTGCAATTGTGTATTTGCTCTCTAAACACAACCAGAATGCTTCACATTAAAAAAAATCCACTTACAGGACACCGAAGATTGACGGAGACGGTGTCAGCAACTACTTCCAAGTCACTGCCACTATCTGCATTTTCAGCAGCAGCTCCACCACCGATGCAACGGCGAACTCGGGCAAGAGCATCCTCAAAACGCTCACCACAAGCTTCCTTTGGTACCACACTAAGGACCTAGGAAAATGAAATGCAATTTCATCAAAAAAATTAAGCATAAAAAATCAGATAACTTACAGCTCATGCAGAAGACATCATTAAACGGGACAAAAGAATAATGGTAGATAAAAGGTCCTGAACTATGATAGGAAATGACTACAGTGCAAATAATTAATGAAGATTGGTAGATGATTTTTCCTTTTTTTGATTTTGGAAAATTAGCAGTAGCGAAGACAATGATCCCAGAAACGTGCAATTATTTGGGATGCATCAAAACAAAACTCACATTCTGAATGAAAGCCAACGAAGAAAAGTATATGGAATGAACGGCCGATTCTTTAGCCAATTAAACCAAGCTTCTTCCAAGGTATCATGCATCATCATGGACACAGACATCAGAAGACCAATGATGCTACTCACTCACAGACACAAGATAAATCAGGCACATCAACATCGACTTTACTAGTATGACCTTGAATTTAAACCTAAGAAGATCGATGAAAGCACAGAGTGATAGAAATATGAACATTTATATTTGTTAGAAGCACAGAAAGTTAAATTTAAAAAACATAAGCATACTTCATATTTTATTTGATTATAATTCCTTTTTACTTTATGTTAAACATACCTATCATGATGGTGATCCCATTGAAATAAAGTTTGATTGCCTCCCATACAGTGAACTTACTGGTTGTAAAAAATCCATGTTGCTATGCTTCAATTTTCCAATTGAATTGGAAAATTGTAGATTATTGATGTAATTCAAGAGGGAGAAACAAAACTAAAAATTTTGAATAAGCCAAAGAGGAATTTGAAAAATTTCTTTCTTGGGTCCTTTTTGGACTATAAATAGGACCCGATATACATCACAGAGATAGAACACTGACAATTTCAAAAAAAAAATATGTTTTTTTTCTTAATTCATGTGAATATTTTGATTGGATGTGAATCATAGGTGTTGAAGAGAACTTCCAAGACGAATCTATTCGTACCAACATGAGGCCTAATTGTACCTTCAATCTAATTTCTATCATTGATCTTGATCTTAATTTGTATGTGATTTAGATTCTTTTAAAGTGAGATAATTGCCAATTTTTCTTATTCTATTGTAAATTTTATCATTTCATGCACTATTTTCTTATTAAATTCTAGATTTCAGCTGCTACCAAATTATTGTTTGGAATATAAAAAAAATTTGCTGTTTTTAATTAAGGTGATCAATGTTTGTTATGGTCAAGATTTACTAAATTATGACTTGTGGTTCAACATGTATTTTTATTTTTATTGTTAATATCATTCTATGTTAACACTATTAATCCCAAATCCAAAAAAATAATAATAAACGGTAATAGTGACTTTTAGTTTCAAGTAGTAGCCGGTGTAACATGAATTTCAAAAGTTGGGAAAATCATAAAGCTAGTGGATACACAAATTCTTCTTCAAAGAATTATTTTCGAAGAGATTAGATTTTATAACTCCACTATAATTATAAAATAATGTCACATAATCAAGTGATTAGCGAGTTTTATTTCTATAAAGAGAATATTAACCCTGCAACTTGATCAATGTGGTTAGTCATGAAAAAAGGCAAAGGATAGCAAAATATGGCAATCATAATGTATCATATTTTTGAATGGCTGCAATATAGAAGCAACTACAAAAATCAATAATGCAGAATAATACTAGATCAATGTGGTTAGTCATGAAAAAAGACACAGGTTAGCAAAATATGGCAATCATAATGTATCCTATTTTTGAATGGGTGCCATTTAGAAGCAACTACAAAAATCATAAATGCAGAATAATTGAAGTAAGGCCATGTTGCAGCCTAGCTACGGTGCATGATGCAAATGAAAGCTATGCCACTAGCATTTTTGTTCATTAAATAACATAATAACGCAATGGTAAAGTTAGCATGAATTATATGAAGTCCAGATGATTGCTAAATTTGATAGTCAAAATTACAAATAAAACCAAGGAGTGCCGACTACATAGCTTTTTAGCTAATAAAGGAGACATTATCTAGAGTAGAACAAAGCATAATACTGTCACCCTAAAGGGTATTTGACTACATGCATAGCAAACCAGTTAAAGGCACCAAAACTGGATAATATATAGCAAAACAAAAGAGATAATGTTATGGCACAAAAGATAGGAAACAAGTAATGTATTAAATACATCAATACACTACATAAACCCACCTGTTGGACAGTACGCCGCTTCACTATCCTGACACCAAAACAGAACACACGAGCATCACAAAATGTGAAAAAGATTTTGTTGCTTCCTTCCCTACTGCAAGTTGTAACCTAAGAAATGAAGCAAATATAGTTATGATTAAGCAGGTTGATCAAAAAGCAAGTTCTATTCGAATAAATACATATCTACACTACTTAAATTTATAATTCCTGGTGCTTTTTTTCAAATAAATGACATATCTCACTTACTACTGGACCATCATCCCGACCACTTATCCCTAATAACTGTGAACCTGCCCTATTTATGGTTCGGACCTGAACACCTGCAAAATAGAGAAATAACCGGAATGTGCTTGAGTTTATGTAAACAGTACAAATGTAACTGAGAAGGCAGATTATCCTAAAATTTTTATTACAGCATATAAAAAAGAAAAAGAAAAACATATCCTCTTAAAAAAATCCAAAAATGCCTCATTCAGGAACTTTTATGACCATTCATCAAACATAGCAAATAAACTTAAACATATTTCTCAAGCATGATGTTAGACATACTGATGAAGTCTAGCATTTTGAAGTTAATGTGTTATATATTAAAATTATGGGATAGAATAATTGAACATAGGTTAAGACGCGATAAAAAGATTTCTTAGAATCAGTTTGGATTTATGTCGGGTAAGTCTACATTGGAAGCTATACATTTATTGAGAGAATTGATAGAAAAGTACGGAGAGAGTAAGAAGGATCAAAATATGATTTTTATTTATTTATAAAAAGCTTGTGATAAAGTTACAAGTGAAGTCTTTTGAAGAGTTCTAAAAAAGAAAGGTGTTGATATGACTAATAATCAAGTCATTAAAGATATGTATACGAGAGTTGTTACTTCTGTTCAAACAGAGGATGATCGACTTTAAGCCCATATCCTTTTACTTTAATTTTGGATGCTCTTACTGGACATTTATAGAAGGATGTACCTTAATGTATGCTCATCGTTGATGATATCCTTCTGGTGGATAAGACTAAAGAAAGAATTCAAGAAAAAATTTGAATTATGGAGGTCTACATTAGAGTCTATAGGCCTTCATTTGAGTAGATTTAAAATTGAATATATGGAATGTTTAGAGTAGTAGACCTAGTGGCAGAATTTTAATAATGAGTGATCAAATCATTAATAGGAATGAACGTATTAGATATCTCAAGTTGATTGTCCAAAGTGACGGTGATATAGATGGGGATGTTATTAGTAGAATTCAAGTTGGATGGTTTTAGTGGAAGAATGCATCAAGCCTATGGTGTGATAGAAAAGTACATCTTAGACTTAAAAGGAAAATTTCATAAGATAGCGACAAAACCTGCAATGTTTTATGGCTCAGAATGTTAGCCTTTACAAGAGAAGCATAAAAATAAGTTAAGTATTACCAAGATGAGAATGCTTAGATGGATGGGTAGCTTGACACTTGGAGACAATGCGAAACAAATGTATCCATGAAAGGGTTGGTGTAGCTCCAGTGGTGACAAGATAAGAGAGAGTCATTTTAGATGATTTGGTCACATCTAATGATCTCATTGAGAGAGTAAATGCTTTAGAAAGGTAGAGGTAGACCTAAAAAGACTTGGGCATGTTGTATAAAAAATCATCTTAATTCTTTACAAATAAATGAAGATATGACATTCAATAGGACACAATGGAGAAAAAAGATTCATATAGCTGACCCCACTAACTGGGATAAACGCTTGTTGTTGTTAATTTTAGACATGTAGAGCCCACAAAATAATTTGAAGACTTACTTTAGCCGCAAAGCTAAAAGGGAACATTAGTAATTTATTATTTATTATTGTGGGGAATATATAAGCCTAATATGTATAGGATTAGGATGAGATTGTTTTCTTGAGTTTTAGGATTAGGGTTTGGAAAAGATTGCTTACTTCTTGAACTGTAGGTGTTAAGGTTAAAAATGGAGAGAGGTTGCCCACCTCTCGAATTGTAGGAGCTTATCTTTTATTCATTTGATTTGTGTTGCTTAGTGCTATTGAAATAAAATATTTTGTTTCCCTAATTCCTGCAAAAAACTCCTCTCGATTTCCATCAAATTTGTATCAGAACAATCTACTCTAGGAAAACGGCGGGAACAAAGCATCCAGGTAACCTCGCAATTTCGACCTTAACACGATAAGGGCTAAGGAAGAAGTTAAATACAAGATCGATCGCAATATAATCGTGTTAAGAGATAGTTGGGAAGCAGAAAGCCGAAGACAAAAATAATTTTGATACAACCACGTTAATTTGGCAGGATCGATCGCAATACAATCGAGGTCAGAGCTAACTATGAAGACAACATTGGGATAGCAGTGCACATATCTCGGTCACACCGCCTTCATGAAGAAATTTTGCGATACAGTCACGAATAGCGAGCAATTCGGGCTAAGAACGGGATCACGATCATCAACTCTCGCGATACAACGCAACACGAGCTAGCTAAGAAGTCAAAGACGGATCACGCATAAGAGTTCTGCGATTCAAACAATCTGGAAAGCCAGAGACCGGATAGAGGCTTACAAAGTGCAAATATAATAGAGACTCAAGTGATCTAGGAAGCCATAGAACTGCGACTAATGACCTTTAAAAACAGTTGCAATTTGGGCTACTTGAGAAGCCAACGAAAGTATCACAACATACAAAAGTTCTACTTTCGTGATCGAAAATCATCCTAAAAGTAATGTCAGCCAAAAAATAGACTCTAGTGGAGAAATTAGAGGGAGAAGTGAGCCAAATCAGATCAGAAATAGATGCGCATTTCTCGTCCATGGAGGGATGACTCATTCATGGAGGCGAGATTCACAACCCTAGAAGAAACAAAGATGAAGGTCATGGAGTTTCACACAAACTCGCTTGTGCCCACTATGGAATTGAGTGATAACTTGGGAAGCGGACGCGAATGACAACAATCAAAATGATTCATGCGACATTAAGGCAGTGTAGCTGCTTTAGGCGAATCAGACGTTGCATGATCGATCAAAGGAATCTGGAGCAGACTCAAACGACGACACTTGGAAGGAATAACTCGACATCCACATGGCTAGAACTAACAAAAACATGTGAGATTTAGCAAAGGAGTCGGAAATGGATTCGAACCATCTAGAGAGAATTGCACGACATCGAGATGTTTAGAACAAGCGGCAAAAAGTGAAATGGGATGACATGTGATTTAGGGCTTGCGAAGACCGATTCAAAGGTTTTCATCATAGAACAAGACATCATGGTGGATGAGACCCCAAAATCGGGATTACAACCAACTACGTTGGTGCCTTTTGTTGCGAAAGCCTTCCGGGCAAAAGACGATTCAGGAGTAATGATGGTAATGACATAGATGGTGAAGGGCAAGGGCGTTTGTAAGGAGCTGATCTTGAGACTATAAAGTATTCAAGAGAGAGACGAGATGACGGTGCTTCGCGATGACTCTTGTTTATGCAAGACTTTAGTAACACTCTAGACCACGGTGAGGGCAATTCAGAACACAGGGCTTAGATTCTTGATCGAGTTGCATTGCATGGGAGAGACACAATACAGAGTTGACAGATTTTGGTGATCAATGAGCAACTGGATGAGTTGTTTATGATTATGATATTTTCCAATTGAATAGAAATCAGGAAAACATCAAATTCAGATGCAACCAAAGGACGTGCACAAAACAACATTTCAAACTTATGAGAGTCTGTATGAATTTCTGATTAAATGAAAATGATTGCTAGATGATGACACTGCATGAGAGCCATATGACTTGATCCAACAACAAATTTCTCTCTTCCACCTTGAGAATAAAATGTCTTTTTGGGAGGGGAGTAATGTTAGACACGTCAAGTCCATCAAATAATTTAAGACTTATTTTAGGCACAAGGCTAGAAGGGCAATTTAGTAATTTAATATTTATTATTGTGGGATATAAATAGGGCTAATATGTTTAGGGTTAGGATGAGATTGTTGTATTTAGTCTTAGGGTTAGGGTTTCGGATAGATAGCCTACCTCTCAAATTGTAGGTGTTTATCCTTATCTATTTAAGTTGTGTTGATTAGTGCTAACATATTTGGCCATCCTAATTCTTGTGAAAAGCTCCTAGTCTCTATCACATGATTAACAAATTAATCAAGTTTTAATAGCAACGGGCTTTATGCATTAAACAAACATATGAGGCGTTGATACATATTTCAAGGTTGGTTTTGTGATGCTGGTTCAATGTAATGGTTTGGTCATGAGGCTAGTAGCAAGCCTATCTACTAGGTTTTCACTTGTTTAGCCACATCCATGGAAAATTTAGTCCACACTCAAGGTGACCAATGATGATTTTTAAAACAGCTAAGATTTTAATCAAATTTTCCAATGAATTGCTCACTAAACCTCTCCCATTATACATGCTTCTAAGGATCTAGTTCCCAATGAAAATCATCCACAGCAGAAATTATGGCCAAAGCTATAGCAGCATGCCAGCAACAAAACAAAGATTCAAAACAATCATGGAGAAACCAAGTTCGGTGAATACAAGAAAAGAAAATGGACTGAACAATTTTAACACGGTTAAATAATTATTCAACTTATTCTCTCTTTTCCGCTCCTCGATTCCTTCTACCAACATATCATGCCATTTTTTGTCCATTTCAATATCAACTGTACTAAAGCATACAAGATAACATAGTGTTTCTATAGGTGCCCTGCAGTCACTTCTCAACCAAGTTGAGTAAGCTTATTTCAGAGTAAAAAGAGAGGAAACAATATAATTACAAAAAGTGAAACCTATTTGTAAACATTGAATTTCCAAAAAGGGTGCCAAATTTGACCAGAAACCGCAACCCTATTAAAAGAGCCGGGCACAAATTTTTAAATCCCACAAATTTTTGCTACTCTTCTAGAGAAGGTTTTTCATAGCATCTTTGGCTAAACACACGCTATAGAATCAAGTAAACAAAAACAAAATTAAGCATTGAAATCCTTCTAAATGTTTAATTCCATTAGAGTATGGTTCTAAGTTTCTGCAATTAACACATAAAACTAGCTAATTTAATGCTATAGCATATATTATCGTATCTTAGCATCTTGCAAGTGTGAGGTGATATCTAAAAATACTAATTGCTAATCCTCAACTTTCATTCACGCAAAATGGCTCTTCATCATGAAGCTAAAACATAGAGCCAACATCCACTACTTTTTGGTGGCATGAAGATCCAAGCTACTAGTGCTATGTCAGCCAATGCACACATCTAAGGCATACCTATTCAAGGTCACGCTAGGAAGCCCCAACCTACTATAAAGCCTAATGTGAAATCCATCACCTT